TGATTATAACGATGAACAATATCCTCCTGTTGAGGATAGATACAAACAGCTAGAAGACCGTCTGAGAGCCATGGAAGTTTAGAGGACACCTGGACTAAATTTCGAAGAACTGGGATTGGTGTCGGGAGTGGTCATCCCGCAGAAGTTCAAAGCTCCAGTTTTTGCTAAGTATGATGGGGTGTCCTGCCCAAAACTCCAACTCCGTTCTTATGTCAGGAAGATCCAGCCCCACACAGCGGATAGAAATCTATGGGTTCACTTCTTTCAAGATAGTCTGTCAGGGGCTCAACTTGAATGGTTCTACCAGCTAGAGGGAGAAAATATCCAAAACTGGGAAGATCTGGCTGCTGCTTTCTACAACCAGTATCAGTACAATTCCAACCTTTCCCCTACCTGTACTCAACTCCAGAGTATGTCCATGGGTGCAAGAGAAGGTTTCAAGGATTATGCGCAGAAATGGAGAGATCTGGCAGGGAGAGTCCAACCCCCTTTGTCTGATAGAGAGTTGGTGGATATGTTCCTTGGTACGTTGTCTGGTCCTTTCTTCAATCACTTGATTGGTAGCTCCTCAGATGGTTTCACGAGCTAATATTGACTGGAGAAAGAGTAGAAGCGGGGATCCAGAGTGACAAGATCCAGAAAAATACCTCTTCGAGTACAGAGAAGAAGTCATTTGGTGGCAAGAGGGAAGTCAATGTTGTACACGGCCAGAAGGGGCGTAGCAAGGCAGACTACCACCAATCTGTGGGGGCAGTGTTGATCTCTAATTCAGCACGCACACAACGACCACGACAACGAAACAATCAGCCAAGGGTGTAAAGACCTCAAAGGAAGTTCACCCAAATCAACATGCCATTGTCGCAAGCATTGCAACACATGTTAAAGATGAATCTGATTACGGTGATAAACCCTCATCTGAACCCTAAGACTTCTTCTCCTAACTACAACCTGGATGCAAGGTGTGCTTATCATTTTGGTAGCTCGGGGCACGATACTAACGATTGTTGGGCGCTGAAATACAAGATTTAGAATATGATTGACGCCAAGGAGATAAAATTCGACCCTCCTGAGACTCCCAACGTGATCACTGCTCCCTTGCCAAAACATGGCTAGGATTGAAAGCATTTTTGTTCATTTGAATTCTGAAGTTGTATTTTCTTTGCTTATTCGAACAATTATTGTCATGTCAAACTCTATTATTTAATTAATGTATTACACATGTATGTCTTGAATTAATTTGTTTTCGTTATGCTTAAATTGCTTTATATTTCCTTTTCGTGATATTCATCTCTCGACTAAAAAACTGTAAGCCTTTAGAGGGAGGATGACGAAAATGATACCACAATCTCTATAGTATGCTTTTGAGCAGACCTTGTTGACGATGTACAGACGTTGTTTCAAATCCTAAACAGTGGAGTTATAAGGAAGATAATCCCTAGTCAACCCCTTCGAGCCAAAGAAGTAGGAGTTTTTCTTTTCACACATATTAAAACCCTTAATCATAACCTGAGGCACGGTAGTTTTCTCAGTTAATCCAGAGGCACATTCAGTCACAATCTTCCGCTTCATACACAATGAATGGCATCAAATACGTCCTTCCGAAACAAAAGACGGTGATGGTTCCCTATAATCATCAAGACAGGCAGTCATTATCTCTCGAAATAAAAGCCCATTAAGTCAAAACCTATGAAGGAGACTTAAGAAAAAACATTGGGGCTTCCCGCTGACTGTAATCACAAAAAGAAACAGTTCAGGCAAAAGACAGGGATAATAAAATCAAAAAGAAAGAGGTCCTACAAACCCTCAACAAAAAAGAAATGACTGCCTATTCGAAATAAACTGTCAGTATCCGAACCATCACTGGAATATCAGAGCAAAGACTAAAACGGGATCTAAATGCACAATTAGCTGAGTTTAGGATCGAAGAACATCACGAAGAACGGGTGGGTACAAATAAAATTTTAGCCTTTATCCTTTGTTTCTTAAATCGTGAACCAGGACACATTATAACCCTTAAAAGTCCTAGCTGAAGCATGGGTTAGTTCGAAAGCATATTGTTACAAAAGGTATCCTGACTCCTAAAGGTCCGTTACAAATCCTGAGTTGATATCACATCTTTGCAAAATTCTATTTTTTCTAAAAAAACTGCATTTTCAAAACTTCAAGACAGGCGTAAACTTTGCATTCTTAAAATAACATTGTTTGCATATGACTATTTGTTCAATAGCGGAGAAATTCGCATGACGAATATCTAGTGAACAAAAATGCCAAATATCATTGTCCATCATATGGGGCAGTCAAGTCAAGATTCAAGGAATCTCTCAAAGATGCCAAATAGCCAGGGGCAGATCTCCATTCGAATCACTTGGGGGCATTGGGCATGAATTCCAACAACGAATCATGTACGATCAAACAAACATCTTCTGGTAGTGTGGCAACACAACACTACCGACAGTGACAACTCCCTACACCCTAAGAGCGTGGACATAGTCAGAAAATACTGCGAATGAACAAAGACCCGCTAGGTTGACTGGCCTAGGAAAAAATAAGGGCATCCCAGCGAACCAAAAGGGTTCGGGCAAAAATTAGGGATAAAAACAAAAAAGACATGTGCACCCGGCAAGCCGAAAACCTGAAAAGGCGGCTTGGGCAAAAAAGGGTATCCCGGTGGACTGGAAATCTGAAAAGACATTCCATGCAAAAGTTGGGGATTAAAGCGTACGACTATGTCCCGTCATCTCGTCACTTGCCTATCAGTAGAAGACTTATCATTTTGATCGGAAGTTACCAAGCACCTCATAAGTTGGGATAACACTCAATCCACAAGGCCTCCGCAGGCACTTTCTCCAGCAGGTACAGGGGCAGAAAAGTCTTGATACGAAGTCATTGTCGTATCCTCAGCATGCGTCCCAGTAACATCTACACTCCCCACAGAGTAGAGGCAACCAAAGTTTTAATCTCTGCCTCCCCAAACAGGAGTTACTTTCCCCAGCCAAGCTCTTTCGGAGAGCCGGCATCTATATTCCCCAGCCGAATTTTGTAATCGCAAGCGGTTCATAAAGTTTTCTCCCGAACAGAGTTTATTTCTCTGAATATAGAAGCTCAATCCCCGACAGAGTTTATCCCTTCAGCTATGGAAGCTTCTCTCTCCAACAGAATTATTCCCTCGCAGAGTTGTTCTCAAGCAGAGTCTCTCCTCGGTAGAATATCCGTAAACAAGGGGCAAATCCCCAGCATAGTCATCTCTGGTTCACCATCTCCAGCGGAAGTAGAAGAACCACTTTTTCTACGACAGTCAGGAACTCAATTTCCATTACTCTCCAACAGTAGTCAGAGATTTATTTTCCCAAACTTGGACGTGCCACAATAGCATTTCATGTTCATATATCATGACGTGCGCATACATATTGCATACGGTATAATCTCATTTATTTTGAGAACATCATACAATGCATGTCATGCATCATATACGATTAATCATGTACCTTTTCAGGAAAGATGGTTATCATCAACAACTTCCAACAAGTTCAAGATTAGCTCCTGAAACTAAACATAGTAATTATCTGCAGGATCAAATGCAGCTTTACACGGGTTCGTCACGAAGAAATCTTACACGGGTTTCTCCTAAATGCAGCTTCACACGGGTTTATCCTGAAAAATCTTACACGGGTCTTTTCTCATACAATTCCAAATAAAGTTTTACACGAACTTATCACAAAGTAACCTTACCCAGGTTCCTTCTGAAGTTTTACACGAACTTATCACAAAGTAACCTTACCCAGGTTCTTTCTGAAGTTTTTGCACGAACTTATCCCGAAATAATCTTATCCAGGTTCCTCCTGAAGTTTTACACAAACTTATCACGAAATAACCATACTCAGATTCCTCCTGAAGTTTTACACAAACTTATCCCGAAATAACCTTACCCAGGTTCCTCCTGAAGTTTTACACAAACTTATCACGAAATAACCTTACCCAGGTTCCTCCTGAAGTTTTACACAAACTTATCACAAAGTAACCTTATACAGGTTCCTCCTGAAGTTTTACACGAACTTATCCCAAAGTAATCTCACCCAGGTTCCTCCTGAAGTTTTACATGAACTCATCCCAAAGTAACCTTACCCCAGGTTCCTTCTGAAGTTTTACACGAACTTATCAGAAAGTAATCTTACCCAGGTTCCTCCTGAAGTTTTACACAAACTTATCTCAAAGTAACCTTACCCCGGTTCATTCTGAAGTTTTACACGAACTTATCACAAAGTAACCTTATCCAGGTTCCTCATGAACTTATCACATATCATGTCAAAGCCTTCACATGTACTCAAATTCAATAGCTAGAAATAGGCACGTATTACAAACCTTCGTTCCACAAAGAAACAACAGCGACAACTGTTTTGCACCGTCTAAAAAACTGAAAGGATAAAGACCCAATAACAAAGTAAGAGGGATAAAGTGCAGAACATGCTGTTTCTATTTTTGGATTAATGAATGGATTGGATGATAGATTTATGACCAAAATTATTACCCCTAGTTCTTCTCATGATTTTTTTATAAAGAACAATTTTTTTTTTGAACTGCATGCATATCAATCGTAAAGTAGAAGATAAAGTGTCAATAAAGCTAAAGATCATTTTGGTTGTCAACATTTAGTTAGCAGTACCAAATCAAACCTTTTTTTTTCTAATTGAACTTGTTATTAAATGTGTGAACCAATATCATTTTACAGCAACATTTAGTTCATGAAATAATAACTAATAATTATAATTATAAAAAAGTAAAAAGTTAACTAAGTGTGGCAATCCAATAGGTCAATAATAGTGCTATCTAAGTTGGAATTAGATTAGGTCCTGGCAGTTAATTACATCAAGTAAGAGCGAGTCTGAGGGTCCTTCTTACTTGCCTATTTTTATGCCTCACTTTCAGTTTATCTATCTATACAATTATGTAAAATATAAATTAAATAATAATCTAATTGCTCATTAAAATTAATATCACTTCCAATGGATGATGAAACTCATACTACTTTGCCAAATGGATTCACCACAGAAATCCCTGAGTCTCAATGTTTAAAAACAATCAACAACAACAATAATCATCATAATAACACCACCACCAACAATAAAGAACAAGACCGTTTTCTTCCCATAGCAAACGTTGGTAGAATAATGAAAAAAGTGATTCCAGCAAACGGAAAAATCTCAAAGGATGCAAAAGAAACAGTTCAAGAATGTGTTTCTGAGTTCATAAGCTTCGTCACGGGCGAAGCTTCGGATAAATGTCAAAGAGAAAAGAGAAAAACTATCAATGGTGATGATATCATTTGGGCTATTACAACATTAGGGTTTGAAGATTATGTGGAACCCTTAAAATCTTATCTTCAAAAATATAGAGATATTGAAGGTGAGAAAGTTAATGTTCCTAAACAACAAAGATCTGAACAAAGGCTACATCAACAAAATCAACAACATAATCAAGATGAATTAAATAATCAACATTTCAATAATAGTTTATATACTTCAACAAATCTCATTTCTCAACCTTCTTATGTCACCAATGATCAACCATTTCCGTTACCTTTCTCGTCAAATTCGATTCAAAAACAGTTACGGCCGCAAGATCAGATCGATTCCATAGGCCATTGGTATGAATGAGTAAGACTAAACTCTTTTTGGATACAACAATATATATTTCAAGATGTAGAGTTATTTTCATAATATATACTTATAAGAATATATATTTATATATGCATGCATGTAATAATTTGAGCCACTTTTCAAAATAAATTTTCTTGAGCTTTTTATTTGCAATTGTCATGTAAGATTGATCAGGAAAATGATAAATTAAAAGGGATAACTCAGTGCACGAGACTCTCATAGAAAGTTTATTATTCATATTATTTGAGAAAAGTTGATTTTCTTATGAGCTACATCATATGTATGTATGTTGTACATCCAATACATAAATGCATACATAGAAAAGAGACCAACAACAATGAAGCAGTTATTATAGGAAGAAAAAAACAGTTTTATTGAGCATCAAACTCGAAAGTAACTAGATGTTTGATGCATTGGAATTAATCTCAGAGACGAAATCTGGAAGAGTGTTGGGATCTGCTCGATGCTTTTTTTGTGTAAACTCGAAAAGTTGGGACCATGTGAAATCAGGATATTTCGGTGGCTCTTGTCTTCCCAAGATGTTCTCTGGTGCTCTCACAATTTTGTCAGATTTTGGATTTATAAAGAAAGCTAGAGTCTTTCTGTCCTTCTCCTTGTTAGCCAATACCCTATGGAGACAGCTCTTGTATACTCCATTAGTCAATGCCTAAGTCAACAAAACAAGATCATTAACAAAGTTTAGACAAGAGTGAAATATGAAAGCTTTTACGCGACTGCCTTATTTAAAATCTGACATAAATCGTGAAAGTCTTTACACGTACGACTGCAATAGTTATTTAAAATTTGACCTAAAACCCTAATTTAATTTAAACCGACCTTAGATATGGCCTTAAATGAGAGCGTTCGTAAGAGAAACTCTTTATAAAAACATGCATACCTTAAAAGTGTCACCTATGTTAATGACAAAGGTATTGGGTTGAGGGCGAACACCGAGCCATTTGTCATCGACAAAAACTTCTAGACCTTCAAGATTCTGAAAAAGAATGGTGATTGAGGTGGGATCACAATGAGGACCAGTGCCAAGGGTTCCAGCTTGGATGCCACTGCAAGGTGGATAAGAGTTACACCTCATCATAGTTTCAGCATCTTCAAAAAACTTCTTGTAAAACAATCTGTCCACACCCAAACTAATGGCCAATAGCTCCAAAATAACTTCAGATAGCTTCTTCATGGCATCACAATAGTTTTGGAGAACCAGCCTATTCCAATCAGGAACCAAAAAAAATAGTTTAGTCACAGTTTTTATCATGAAAAACAAACTGGTTCTATTGAACCACAATTGAGTCTCGTGTAGCACGCCCTCAAGGACGGTCCTGCTTAAATGCTATCATAGAAACTTATTATAATAAAAATAGGGAAAATAAAAGAGTGATTCTTACCCAGCATGTTGGTGGTCATCGCCTAAGACAGAAGTGAAGAAATCAACAATTTGTGTGGGAGATTGATCATAATGTTTGTACTGGAAAGTAAAAGTCTCTTTCCATGGCAAACTAGCAGAGTACCTTGATGCATGAGCACACGAGTAACCAAATGGAGCCTTATATGCATTAGCCTTCCTATCCAAAGGAAGTTCAAAAAGGGACACAAACTCTTGATTAGTAGCATCTATCAGTTTTTGATCAACACCATGGTTTGTGACTTGGAAAAATCCATGCTTCATGCATGCATCTCTCATAACCTTTGCAACAGCTTCCAAAGCAGCAGCATCACCATTGGATATGACTCCTAAGTCAATGATTGGCACATCAAGATCTCCTTGGCTGGTTTCAACCAAATCCTCAGATGACCAAATGAATTCCTTTGGTACATTTGCTTGCTTATGCAGTGATTTGAAGTCAATAATGCTTTTGAACTCATTTTCACTTGGAGAAATAGTAGAAGCGATTGGTGCCATTTGGGTTTGCAATTAGGAGAGGTTGATTTGTAAAAAACAAGCTTTGTTGAGTATTGCTAATGCACAAAAGCAACATATATATAAATACAATTTTCATTCAAAAGTTATCTAAAGAGAATGTATTCAAAAGTAATAAATTTTTTTTGTTGATAAAATTGTGCTTCGATTCAATGAATCACAATGGAATTTAGAAAATTAAAATGTTACTTTAATAATATATTTTTGAAAATAAATGTTACTTTATATAGATCGGATACAATGAACCTAAAACATGTTTCATTTTTATAAAAAGGAACTAATGTAATGATAATATTTTTATTTTAAAATTATACTTTTAACAAAATTTCTTTTTTAATATAATTTAAATAATATGATTTTTTTAATATTTAACCTAAATTGTGTCATCGGTGCATAAAAAATGAATTGTCTTGATATTCAAAGTTTTTTTTTATCAATACTGTGTTCATTGATATTCAAAGTTTGATATAGTAACTTCAAAAAATAAGTTCATATTTCATCTAGAACCTTTGCAAATTTTTTATTAATATTACTATTTTTAATTATAACTTTTATATTATATAATTATATGTTATATTTTTTAATCAATCTGTTATATTTAATAAACGTAGTATTTAAATAATTGTATAATAATAATAATAATAATAATAATAATAATAATAATAATAATAATAATAATAATAATAATAATAATAATAATAATAATAATAATAATAATAATAATAATAATAATAATAATAATAATAATAATAATAATAATAATAATAATAATAATAATAATAATAATAATAATAATAATAATAATAATAATAATAATAATAATAATAATAATAATAATAATAATAATAATAATAATAATAATAATAATAATAATAATAATAATAATAATAATAATAATAATAATAATAATAATAATAATAATAATAATAATAATAATAATAATAATAATAATAATAATAATAATAATAATAATAATAATAATAATAATAATAATAATAATAATAATAATAATAATAATAATAATAATAATAATAATAATAATATAATAAAAATAATAATAATAATAATAATAATAATAATAATAATAATAATAATAATAATAATAATAATAATAATAATAATAATAATAATAATAATAATAATAATAATAATAATAATAATAATAATAATAATAATAATAATAATAATAATAATAATAATAATAATAATAATAATAATAATAATAATAATAATAATAATAATAATAATAATAATAATAATAATAATAATAATAATAATAATAATAATAATAATAATAATAATAATAATAATAATAATAATAATAATAATAATAATAATAATAATAATAATAATAATAATAATAATAATAATAATAATAATAATAATAATAATAATAATAATAATAATAATAATAATAATAATAATAATAATAATAATAATAATAATAATAATAATAATAATAATAATAATAATAATAATAATAATAATAATAATAATAATAATAATAATAATAATAATAATAATAATAATAATAATAATAATAATAATAATATAATAATAATAATAATAATAATAATAATAATAATAATAATAATAATAATAATAATAATAATAATAATAATAATAATAATAATAATAATAATAATAATAATAATAATAATAATAATAATAATAATAATAATAATAATAATAATAATAATAATAATAATAATAATAATAATAATAATAATAATAATAATAATAATAATAATAATAATAATAATAATAATAATAATAATAATAATAATAATAATAATAATAATAATAATAATAATAATAATAATAATAATAATAATAATAATAATAATAATAATAATAATAATAATAATAATAATAATAATAATAATAATAATAATAATAATAATAATAATAATAATAATAATAATAATAATAATAATAATAATAATAATAATAATAATAATAATAATAATAATAATAATAATAATAATAATAATAATAATAATAATAATAATAATAATAATAATAATAATAATAATAATAACCATATTAAGTATTATTATTTTGCACGTGAATTAAATATAAAATAAGTATTTGTTTGATTATATACTCAATGTAGTCAAATGATTTATAAATTATTTACAGTCAATGTAGTCAAATCATTTCAAAGGAATAATTGACTATATATTCATCAATTTATGGCAGGATGATTTCTATAATTTCTATCTATGTAAAACATTGAATATAATACTGAAATAAAAATTATTCAAAGGAACAAACTACAATACATTTAAAATTTTATAAATCATAATATGTAGTCAAATGATTTTCACTCGTGCATATAATCTAGTACCTATCACTTCTCTTTCTAATTAATACTTTTTTAAATAGCAAAGCAATACATTTCTAATCAATATTTATCTTATGTTTAATTTCTTCAACATTTGTATCCTGTTAAATCGTCAATATCTCTAAGTTATGACTAATATTAAAATTTAGATTATTCTCGATAATGATAACATCCGAGTATAAAATACTGTAAAATAATAGATATCTTTAGATAAGCATTATTAATTTTTTATACAGTTTCATAAAATATAATATATTAAATTAATATACTATTGTAGAATTTTATGATAATTATTTTAAGTAAATTTATTTGAAGTGAAATGACATATTCAATTTTTTAATAGCGATGGAATAATGTGTAAATGATAAATTTTTCTATCTTTTAAGAAAATTTTAGTTGTCAGCATAACCATATAATTTTTTTTATCAGATCTTATATTTTATGGTAGGATTGAACAAGAAATTTTTTTATATAAAATTTAAAAAACAAAGAAATAACAAAAACTATTAAATTTAAATAAAATCATTTTAGGCAAGTGAAGATCATTTTACAAAAATATTCTCTAAGATAAAGGTACAAAAATTATAAAAGAAAGTTCAATAATTTTATAGTCAAACAAGAGATAGGTAATATAACACAACGAATAAATCGAGAATATAACACTTAATCTTACATATCATATCACAACATGTTCGATAACACATAAAATTTAAAATA